GCGCCGGAGCCCCAGCGCCCCGGGCTGCCAATGCCAGCTCGCCTCCCGTCAGCGAGCTGCGACGCGAGGGTCGCGGTGCGGGCCGGGGCCACGGCCCACACGAGCGGCTGCGGCTGCTGGGGCCGGTGATCATGGGCGTCGGCCTGTTCGTGTTCATCTGCGCCAACACGCTTCTGTATGAGAACCGAGACCTGGAGACGCGACGGCTCCGCCAGGGGGTGCTGCGGGCCCAGGCTCTGCGGCCCCCCGACGGCCCCGGCTGGGACTGCGCCCTCCTTCCCAGCCCGGGCCCCAGGACTCCCCGAGCCATAGGCTGCGCAGAGCCGGAAAGTTGGGACCTGTCCCCGCGTCGGGGCACCTCACCCGTCCCGTCGGTGCGGAGTCTGCGTTCAGAGCCTGCTAATCCTCGCCTGGGGTTACCCGCCCTGCTCAGCAGCTATCCACTGAAGGGCCCGGGGCTGGCCCCACCCTGGGGTGCCCGAACCCAGACTGGCCACGTGATCATCACAGTTCAGCCCTCTGCCTCGTACATCGAACATTCCAAGTCTCTGGACCTGGGTCTTGGGGAGCTCCTCCTGGGGACCCCAGCCGCTCGTGACTGTGCTCACCGCAGCTGGCCACGACTGGACCGCCTCAGTCTGGGCGGGTATGCCAAACTGGGGGGAAAGGGAGGCTTGGGGGCGCGGGTCTGAGGAGCAACGGGGGAACCTAGGAGGCTGCACCATGGACCGTGGTAACAGGAGCAGAGGACCAAAAGTCCTAACGTCTGCTAGCTGTTTCAGTCGCATCTCTGGCTGGGGTGGATGCTCCGACCACAGCAGCTGCTAAGGCATCCTGACATGCATGTGGGCGGAGAAGCCAGCTGCACTAGCGCTGGGTGAGCCAGAGAGGGAGTATTGTAACGTGGAGTACGGAGATCAGCGTGAAGTGGCCTCAGGAGTTTCTTTAGCCTCCGTATGTGCCTTAGCCCCGGACAGGCACCTGAGGGGGCTGGAGGCCCAGGCCAAGGAGACCGGAAGATGACTCTGGTGTGTTGGCAAACCCGAAGTGGTGGGCAAGGACCTCTTAATACTTGGAAGGTAGGCTGGGATGTTTCAGGCCGGGTCAGGCTCCGGCCAGTGTGGCACTGGTGGCGGCGTACGGACCTCTGAGAAGAAAGATGGGCGATGGGTGGAGTCGAGCCCCTCCTCTGCCATCTGGGATGGGGACTGAGCCTTGAACTCCCACTGCCTCACACTCTTTCCTCCCTCAGCCCTGTGAGATACCTCCCTTAGGGCTAACTACTGCCAACGCCTTCACAAGAGTCTGGCCCCCTCCCCAAACAGGTCTGAGAAGGCCGCCTTCTTACTTCATCATCGCCGAGGCTGCAAAATCTCCCTCCAGCTCTCAGAAATCCCTTTCCACAACAGTGAAGCTGCGTTTTTGGCCAGTGTGGTAGCTTACTTGACAAAATGGTTCAGTTTAGGTTTCTCCCACCCGGGTTTAATTTTCCCCAAGTTGCTGGTAGAACAGAAATTTACAAGTGAATCAGTCCTCACAAACTCAGCCTTTTTTTTTTTAAAGTTTATTGGAAAATGCAATACAAGAAGCCAAGACCAAACACGTATCTAAACACTACGACCACTTTCTTACTACAAAAAGCCAAAACAGCAGACCTAATTATTGCCTATTTAATCTAAGGATTTTGCCAATTTGATTCTGCTGCTGTAGTTCCTATTTTGTCGAGAAATGTAAACAACTACTTTGTGTGATTCATAATTTTTTTAAAAATTTACAAAGCTCCTTCATTTTTGTCACCAAAACAATACATTTGAGAGATTTGTAAAAATGAGCAGCCTGGGGCTGAGATCCTGGGCAGAGATTTCCCGAGAGCACCAAGGGGCTCTGGGCAGGCCATAGCTCTGGCTCCCGTTCCCAGGGTGGCCTGGGGCGCTTCACCCTGATGTTCTGTGTCCCCCAGAATACAGTGGTGGCCCGGGGGAGGTGCGGTGAAGGTGCCTGGCGGGTCCCTGCAGTTAGGCTCCTGGAGCCCTTGGCTTGTGAATGTAGGTCTTGCTGTGTGGGTAGGTGGCAGAGATCTCACATGGTTTGAAGGAAATTTTTATTTCTAAAGTAAAAATAAAATTGCAGCGAGAGTTGTTACTGTGGTGTGTCTGAGTCATTTTAGAAAAACTGTAGCCAAGTCTCTGACCCTGGAAGTGTAACTGTCCTCCCCGCCTTCACCAGTTCTACCTGGACAGAGTCTTCACACACGCGTGTGCACACACACACACAACTGCAGAAAGAAAAAAAAAATCAAAACAATTTCCAAACCTCAAGATCTGTTGCCAGAGAGGAAGGGGGAAGAGGCTTGGAAGGAAATTAGAGTTCTGGTCCAATTTACAGACAAAGGAGGTGGAGCGGAGTTAGCTGGTGGGAGAGCTGTGGAGGGCTCGTCCCCTTGGTCTGGGGTCCTGTGCTGAGAGCTGCGACACGGGTCCAGCAGCACAGAGTTGTCAGGGTCCCAAGTGGCCATGTGTGCCTTCTTTCCTCCATCCCCTTCATCCCACAGGCTGAGCTGTGAGCCCTGCAGCTGGGCTAGCAGGACAGCTGGCCTTGAGAAGCAAGCTCCATTACATGCTTGTTGGATGGGACCTAGTTACAACTTCCGCCACTGCTGCCAACACAGCCCTGGCCTGGGCCGCACCCAGAGCCCATCACTGCAGACCCTGTGCCACAGCCGGCAAGCCTGTTCCCGAGACAGGGCAAGCTGCTTTCCCCCAAGGCCTGTGGCGGATCCCACTGGTGCTGTCCTATCCCTCCGGAGAGAGGGCTCCCTGGCTAAGTCTCACATGAGCACTAAAGGGAAAATGCACACACTCGCAATCAGTTCAAACCAGCTGATTCTGTCTAAAAACTCAGCTAGTAGAGATACTGCGCTGCTGGCTTTTAGGCTTCTCTCATGCTCATGCCCGTCAGCCCCCAGCGATAGCTGTCAGTGACCCACTGTCTCATCTCATGAAGTTCACTTCTGGCCTAGAATTAGGATTCTAAGAAGCTTCCAGGCAGATCTGTTGCAGGAAGCAAGCCGGAAGATTAGAGAAGCCCTACTGAATAAAATGCCTCCAAATCCCCACCAGGAATTGGGGAGATCAAGCCTCATTTTAAAACCAAGACCAGAAAAAAAAAAAACAACCTCAAATCCAAAACCCACTGCAAAATCAAGGCTAGAGAACCCAGCAGACCTCAGGCGGTGAGTGGGCATGAGCAGACCTGGGCCTCTGTGTGGTGGCCTGTGGGACAGTTGGCCCCTAAACCTGCAATACCCTCACTCCAAACGGGTGCCCTCAGGCAGCTGCCTGTCAGAGGAAGAAAGGTCAAAGAATACGACCACTCTGACCCACGTCTGTCATCACACCAGAAGAGAAAGAGGCACAACCACCTGGAAGTACTGCTTAGCAGGATCTGACTGAGGTAAACTCCACATTCCCCTCTGTGAAGTACATGCTCCCAGAACTAGAAGACCTTATTTTTAAAACTTCATTATCTTCCCTTCCCCGAACCACCATTAAAATGTTCCATTAGAACTTCTGGCCAAAAGTGCTTATTTTTCCGTGAGTTTTGGTCTCCTGAGATGGGAGCTTGGCAGAGTCACTGTTTCTTATGAGGTACAAGGGAAAAGGGGGAGATAAAGGCCACAGATATGTTCAAACATTCACAGTATCAGATATAGCGGAAGCAACTTCTTTTGTCTGACTTAAAGAAGCTCCAAAACTGAAAGAGCGGTGGGGAAGGGGGTAAAATAATACTACATTCTCAGCAGAGGTCTCCGCTTCACCAAAAACAGCCTGACAGGACATCGTTCTGAGAGCTGTGTGTCAGGGCAGTCACCCTGCCTGACATTCTGGCAAAGTCACATCATTGGTTCTGAAAAAGCTGGCTCATGAAGTTTCTGTTGTCATCCAAAGGGTGTAAGACTACGGGAAGAGTGGGATGTCCCATGGCGCTGGCTTTGGCCTCCAACACGACAGACAGAGTCTCTGGAGGATCCTGCAGAATTCTGAGGACCCTGTCCGTATCTGGGTTGGAAATAATCAGGGAGAGGGTAGGTTGCAGGGGTTACAAACTACCCCGTAAAAAAGCCAAGAACTCTTTAAAAACAGTCCACAGAGTGAAAAGTTGAACAATTTCTGGTATCACAATATAGAAAAAGATCTTCAAAAGAATCAGTGATATCTAGAAGAATCTCTTGTTATAAATTCAAAATAGAAAAAGAAATTAATTTTCTGGTGGTTTAGGATAACTTGCAAGTCTAAAGTCTGACTATTGCAGGTTGGCTTCCCAATCATTTTGCTGGTTTCTCTTGGATGGGAGAAGGGCAGGGAGCTGGGGGTAGGACAGTTCCTAGAGGAAAGAAAGAAGCACATTTTTAAATCCTGCAAAGGAGCCAGTTTCCCAGGCCCACTGCCAAGTGGCCATAAATGTCAATCAGGACCTGAGCCATATGCCCCCCACCTGACGGTATGGTCTAGCTCTTTCTGGTTTCATTCTCCTCTGTCCCTCCCAGGTCCGGGCTCAGACACACCTGTGACCCAGGCAGCAGAAGCAGAGGATGGTGAAGGAGAAATATGGGGTTTCAGGCAGTGGGTGGAGCTTTACATGCAAGTCTGGGCGACCTTCTCCTACCCACTACTGCTGGCACCGTTATGAGCAGGAGAACACAAATGACCTGGCTGTTCTGGTTGGAGCCAAATGCTACTTAGTCATCTTCTCTACTTCTCCTTTATGATGTGCCAGTGGGAACATCTCTTTGGGGTGACGGGCTCCCTGGAGATGGTCCACAGTCCCCACCAGAGCTCTCTCAGGCTGGCACAAAGGCATCCTCAACCCCAGCCAGAATACCCCCTACCTGAGCTCATTCCTCAGAGATCTCCGTCTCCTGATGGACGACCACCTTGGTCACTGACATGTCTGGGTGCTGCTCCTTTGCCTCCTTGATGGCTTGTACGAGGACCTGTGAAAGACAAGCACAGTGCCATCAGGCAAAAAGCAGCCTGGGAGGTGAAGGAAGCCTGGGTTGGGCCATCACTGCTTGATGATGTTAGCCTAGGCCAAACCAGGGACTCCCTTGTGCCCTCCTCCTGCAGAGGGAGGCCCCAAGCACAGAAGGCAGGGAAGGCCAGAGAGGATTCGCTCAAGCAGGTGGAGGACAGAATCTGTGTTCATTATAGGTGAACCAGGAAGTTCAGGAAAAGAGAGAAGGTAAAGATGTGTGCTACACAAAGGGAGAGATGAGCTGGGTGTGGTGGCGCACACCTGCAATCCCAGCCCGAGGCAAGAGGATCATCTCGAGTTTGAGGCCAGCCTGGGCCACATAATGAGACCCTGTCTCAAAAAAAAGAGGAAGAGATGTCTTTTGCTAAAGTAGGAGAAAGGAAGGAAGAGGAGGAAGGCCTATGATGGGCCAAGCCTGGCCCAAGAACATCACTTGTCATTTAATCTTAGAACCCCTGAATCAATTAGGGCAGTATCACTATTTCTATTTTAGATTTGAGTTAAAATCCCTGAAGGTTTAATAAAGCACTCATTGTTTCATACCCGGTAAATAATGCAACAGGGATTTTAATTCAAATCCATCAGACTCCTCTTTACCACACTGTCTTTTACTTTCTGAGGACCCCATCTGAGCACCTGGAGGAGTTGGATTACTTAGAAAAGCTGAGGAGAGCACAGGGAAAGCCACAGGAGAGCAGTGACACCGCCCTGCGGGCTGCCAGTCTGAGCTACTGCCCCTCGCAGAAGACTCGGGCTGGAACTGGCCAGCTGACTGCTCCCCCTGCGCACACAGCTCTGAGAGACAGGGAACAGGGAACCTCTCTTTGAGTCTCGTAGTGCTGGGAAAGGCACTCTTGGAGCTGCCAGCTCTCCAGAGCCCTGCGCATCCTCCCTGGGTCTTTTCTTCTAAGCCACCTGCTGACACTTCTGGTGTACCGCAAGCCCTCCCTGGTGATTCCGCTTTCCCGCCCGCATGGAGCCTGCACACGCTGCTTTCCTCAGCCGCCTTCTGCCCTGCAGAGAGCACCTCTCCCTTTCCATGTGTCCCTCAGTTCCTAGGAGAATCAGAGGCCCTGGAACATCCCTCAGAGCTATCAAGCTGGGTGTGGTGGTGCACACCTATAATCCCAGAGGCTGAGGCAGGCTGACTGCTGCAAGTTTGAGGCCAGCCTGGGCAACATAGTGAAACTCCGTCTCAAAAAATCAAAACGAACCAAAGAAGTTATCAAGTTGCTTGCTCCTTTGTTACAAAACCTTAGAAGAAGGCCTACGGGGTGCACACGGGAAGTCAGAGTTAGCATTCAGCCCAATTCTGTCTCACTGCAAAGCACACCTTCTATTTCACTGCCCTTCGTGCAGACTGAGTACAAAGCAGGGACTCCATCGCACCCCAGCTCAGCTGCTCATGTGGCAAGGTGCACTGCACTGGGCAAACAGACTGCATGCTCGTGCCCCTTCGGCTCTGGACCTTGTTTCTGGGATCCTGGACCCAGTATTCTCAGTCGCAGGTCTCTACCCCACTACCAAGGGAACTGCCAGCACTGCAGCTCAATTTCCTTTTTTTAAAGACACTCAGCATATCAGCATAAAGGCCACAGAGTTACTGCTCCAGCAGTAATCCTGTCAATGATTCCAGAAGCATCTGCATGCAGTCTCTTCCACCCCCTCTTCTCTGCAGCCTACTGTTCTAACCTCCCCCAGCAGAGAATCGGGAACATTAATCCTGACCTTATTATTTGCTAATTGCTTGTGGCACACAATTAGCACCTAATTAACATAAAAACATAGAAATTTAGCACCCAGAAATTATCTAGATCAATCCACTGTCTTTTAGAAGAGGAAAGGTATCAGAGGCAAAGTGGTTTGCCCAAGGTCACACAGGTTAGTGTTGCATCCAGTGCAGGAACCAAGCACCAGATTTCCTGGTGCTTCGTCCATCCCCGCAGCTCCCCCTGCTATCTTCTCAGCAACGACAGTGCTGTAGGGTAGGGACCAGGCCTCCTCTTGGTTTCCTATCATCTAGCACAGGTGTAGGAACAGGTGTAGGAGCAAAAACAGCTCCATTTACCAGGAGCCCACCGTGTGCCTGTTCTATGCCGTATGCCCTGTATCTCACTTGCTAGGCACGAAGTCCTCGAGAGGAGGACACTATAATCCACAGTTTCGAGATGAGGAAGCAGAGGCCCCGGAGTTAAGAGCTATAACACAGTAAGAACCAGCACGTGAACTCAAGTCTTAGAGCCCAGAGCCATGTTCTTTCTGCTGGAATTTCTGGCTTTCCCATCTGTAGCTTCCATCCCGCCCACCTCCGTGGTTTGATTCTCTTTGTTTTTCTTCTCAAGAACCAGAGTAGCCAAAGAAGTCTTTTGGAGATGTCGATGGCAGGGGTACCCTCTGTATGCCTACTCCGGTATCCACCAATCGTCCCAGTCCCATGCTCAGAATCTCTCTGGCATTCTTACCTGATCGTGGTCAATATCAGTATCTCCTGTAATCACAATTCTCTTTTCAATCCGGGTCTCTGAAATCCCACCTTTTACAGTCTGGAACCAAAGAGAGGTGGTCAGATGAGATCAGCAATGTAACAAGAAAGAAAAACAAAACAAAACAGAACAGATTAGTCTGAAAGCTCTACATTTCAGCGTGGTAGACCTATCCCCAAACCCTGCAGGATTTGCAGAACAAACACACCTGGGCTCCCCTGGGTTGCAAACACTTTTAATAAACTCAACACAAAGACACAGTGCTCTCCCTGTTTACATTCTCCATTTTTCTTCCTCCCAAACCCCACAGATATCAAGTAAACAAAACAAGTACTTCTCTTTCTTCATATATGTTTTTCTCAGGATGAAAAAGAATCAGAAGACTATGAATAGAAGTGTCACACAGCTTAAAACTGAGATCTTTTCTTTTACAATACTTTCATATTGCTTATGTCAAAAGATCCTCAAATAATCTCCTGAAGGTGGGTACGTTTCCATGACAAATGAGGAAAACCAAGCTCTAGGCAAATTGAATCACTGGCTTTCAGTCATCTGTGTGTTGACTGAAATAGTTTGGTCAAGAACCTAAATTTCTGGCCTATTAGTGTATACTCCTCTAGTGCTGAAGCAAATGCGGTCTCTGCTGGTTTTCTGAGGGGAGTCTAGTTTTAGATATTCTGTCCCTATTGTTTCCTATAAATCATATTCTTTTGTTTTGTTTTGTGTACTGGGGACTGAACATAGGGCTTTGTCATGCTAAGTAAGTTACCCAGCCTTTAAACCATATTCTAATAATTCTAGTATTTAGCATCTAAACTATAATTCCAGGGCTGGGGATTTAGCTCAGTGGCACAGCGCTTGCCTAGCAAGCACGATGTCATGAGTTCGATTCCTGGTACCAGAAAAAAAAATTAAAAATAAATAAATAAATAAATAAAATAAAATAAACTATAATTCCTATAGCTTTGAACTTGGATATGACATAAAAAATCTTTGTCAGGCCTGGAATTCTGATTTTGGCTTGGAAAGCATGGTTTTTATCATAATAAGAACAGTACCTCCCCTTAGACTCATGTTTTTTCTTTTTCTCTCTCCCTCTTTTTCTTTTTTCGATGCTGGGACTCAAACCCAGGGCGAGGCAAGTGCTAGGCAACTGTTCTACCAGAGCCCAACTGGACTTTAATTTTTTTTTTTTTTTTTTTTTTTAGTAGTGGGTATTGAATCCAAGGTCATTCTATCATTGAGTTACATTTCCTGTCCTTTTTATTTTTTTGAGACAAGGTCTCACAAAATTGCCTGGACTGGCCTTGAATTTGTAATCCTCCTGGCTCAGGCTCCCATATATCTGAGATTATAAGCAGGCATCATCGTGCCAGGCCCAAGGGGACTTTTACACTTACCTCCACAGCCACATAGCTCCAGAAAAACAGAGAGATGAAGAAAATGACCACATGTGGCTTTATGAGACTGCTAAGCAGGCAGGGATGCTCTCATGGTCTCCCTAGGTTTACTGCTGGGAAGAGCAGCCAGGCCCTGCTACCTGGGACACTTGGACCAATTTAGCTCAATTAGGGATGGAGCGAGAAGCCTTTGCTTATGGACTGGGGTCCTCTTTTCCAAAGGGTGGCAACAAGCCGACATGCTACTAGATTTCATAGGGAAGCTCTGCTGCTCTGTTACCTTGGTAATTTGAGTTGTGGTGGTGCTGCTTGTGGTCTCAGATGTGATGGTCTGTGCTGTCAGCAGGACTCCTGGGTCTAAGTCCCCATTGCTGTCATCAGTCTGAAGAAGAAAGCACAACTCATTAACCTGCCTCACAGGATGCCTTGTGGGCCAGTAAAGTAAGCTACAGCTTTGTTCTTCAGCTGTATGTTCTAATGCAAAACTCTAATTCCCTCCCAGTGACCTCTTTATAAATAGAACAAATCCCCTGGGAATGAGGCTCCTTCCACAAAAGTTGGTTGGGTATAATTTCCTTAGCATTGGGTCAGTGATAGAAGTAGCTCAGAAAGAGAAGGCACGAATACAGCCATTGTTTCTACAACAGTGACACTAACCACAAACACGCACAACATTTTATAGTTCACAAATGTCTTTTAAAATGTCTTTATAAATGCTCATGCCAGTCTCATGAAATTAAGAAAAGGGACAGAGATTTTAGCACCATTCATTAAGAAAACTCAGGTTGAGCTGGGCACAGTGGCACACACCTGTAATCCTGGCTACTCTGGAGGCTGAAGCAGGAAGATGGCAAATTTGAGGCCAGTCTGCGCTACAGAGTAAGACTGTCTCAAAAGAAAAAAAAAGCGGGCGTGGTGGTGAATGCCTGTAATCCCAGCACTCGGGAGGCTGAGGCAGGAGGATCATTGCAAGTTTGAGACCAGCCGGGGCTACAAAGTGAGCTCAAGGCCAGCCTGAACTGCATAGCGAGACCCTGTCTCAAAAAGAACCACCCCCCCCAAAAAAATCCAAAGGAAAATAAAGGAGGAAGAGGAGGAGGTGTAGAAGGAAGGGTGGAAGAGGAAGAAGGGGAGGAGGAAGAAGAGGAAGAGGAGGAGGGCTGGGGTTATAGCTCAGTGGTAGAGCACTTGCCTAGCATGTGAGGCCCTGGGTGTGATCCTCAGTATTGGGGGATAAGGGGAAGGAAAAGAAAATAAAGCTCGGGCTCAGAAAGGGGAGTTATTTGCCTATGGACTCTAAGTAAGTAGCCATTTTCTTCCACAGATCTGGTGTTTATGCATCATCCAACGCAGGAAAGCTGTAAACGCTTAGCTGCTAAGGTGCAGATAGGGCCTGCATCATAGGGCAAAACTTTCCAGAAAGGAGTGGGAAAGGAACTGGCTGGGGCTAAGGGGCCAAAGAGTTTCAGGCCATCTTCTTTATAAAGACTGAAAGGAAAAGTGGAGTAAATGAAGTGGGGAATATTTCTTTAAAAGAAAGTGAGAGGCTGGGCGTGGTGGCACATGCCTGTAATACCAGCACCGGGGAGGCTGAAGCAGGAGGATCATTACAAGTGTGAGACCAGCATGGGCTACAAAATGAGCTCAAGGGGCTGGGGATTTAGCTCAGCGGCAAAGCGCCTGCCTGGCAACCGCAAGGTCGTGAGTTCGGTTCCCGGTACCGGAGAAAAACAAAAACAAAAAACCAAAAAAAAAAAAAAACCAAAATGAGCTCAAGGCCAGCCTGAACTGCCTAGTGGGACCCTGTCTCAAAAAAAAAAAAAAAAGAGAGAGAGAGAAAGTGGAAGAAAATATCCATAATATACTTTAATAACATTTCTAACAAGAAGATTATTACTGAACAGGATGGGATTTTGTAATTACTCACAACACCAGGCTGTACAACTAATCTGTACAACTAATGCAGAGGAACAGGGCTGGAACACCAATTTATCCAGAGCTCACTATATCATGACCAAAGCAACATGTCATGGTCAGGCTGAGCGATAACATTAGCAAAAAGGGAAAGTCATGGTTGGCAGATGCCACGCTGAGCCTAACAACTATAAACAAAAAGCTGGTCTGTTAAAGCTGCTGATGCCTGATGCCTGATGCCTTTCTGACCAAGAGGGAAACAAACTGGATATGGAGGATGGCAACACATGTTTCAGTTAACGGTGACCTAAAATACCTGGCACTGGTGGAGAGGGATTTAGAGAACTGCGATTATTTTCATAAAGAACTCCGTGGCAGAAATGTGTTAAGGGCTGGGGATTTAGCTCAGCGGCACAGTGCCTGCCCAGCAAGCACAGTTCGTGAGTTCGATTCCTGGTACCAGAAAAAAAAAACCAAAAAACCAACACATAAAAAAAAAAATCCGGAAATGTGTTCAGTTACTATCTTTTTCTGTTTCCCTCCCTTTTTGGTGGTATAGGGATTGCATTTAGGGGTGCTTTGCATTGAGTTACATCCCCAAACCCCTTTTTTATTTTAAGGCAGTGTCTCACCAACTTGCCCTGAGTGGCCTCAAACTTTTGATTCTCCTGTCTCAGCTTCCCAAGGAGCTACAGTTGCAGGCATCCCCCCTGCACCTGGTGCTCTGCCTCTTTATAGAAGTCATTTGTATTATAAGCAGAGGCTGCTAACTTTTTCTTTTCTCTTTCTTTAGACCAGGTCTTGATTTGTTGCCTAAGCCGGTGCTAAGCTTCTGGGCTCATGTGACCCTCTTGCTTTACCCTCCCAAGTCGCTGGGGCTACAGGTGTGTGCCACTGTGCCTTGCCTACTTTATTTTTATGAGCAGGATCACATTTCATTTAGCCTAAATTCTAAGATATTAGGAGGAGGGACAGAGGAAAAGAGATTTAGGAAAGAGAAGAGAATCGGGAGGCTACAGAGTCCTTGCCTGGGTTCCCCTCCAGCTGGAAGTTTGGATAAAACCAAGAGGGAACTGACTGTGACACCTGAGTCTTATATACATGCTACCATCATACCAGGTACAATATTAGCTAGAGCACTAATATTTTCCTCAGCCAAGGCCACTTAGCCACCTTAGATTCAGCTAACATTTCCTGCACTTCTAATGTGTCAAGCATATCATGCAACTGTTACTCAACAGTATCACTCAATATCTGAGGTATATGCTATCATTATTCTCGTGGAGCAATTAGGAAAGCCAAGACCCAGAGAGTTAAATAATTTGTTCAAGTTCTACAGCTAGTAGCTGTTTGAACTAGGACACAGACCAGGAAAGAAACTTGGTATCAAAGACTGAGGTTTGGTCCCAGCTCGCTCAGAGAGTAACTAGCCATGGGAGCTTGAGCAAATCATTTCGACCTATCTGAGCCTTAGTTTTCTCATTTATAAAAGACAAAACTGTGATAGATGTCCTGCCTACACCACAGCATTACTGAGAAGATCCCAGGAAATTACGGAAATCCGAGTACTTTATAAATTGTAAGATAGCCAGGTATGGTGGTATACACCTGTAATCCTAGTACTCGGAAGCTGAGGCAAGAGGATCATCTCAAGTCCAAGGCCAGCCTGGGCTCCATATTGAGTTCAAGACCAGCCTGAACTACACAGCAAGACCCTATCTCAAAAACAAGCAGCTGCTGGGCTGGGGATATAGCTCAGTGGCTTAAGCACTTGTCTGGCAAGTCTGAGGTCATGAGTTCAATTCCCAGTACCAAAAACAAAAAAACAAAAAAACAAGCAGCTGGGCTTGGGGGTTCAAGCCTGTAATCCCAGCACTTGGAAGGCTGAGGCAGGAAGATCATAGCGAGTTTCAGGCCAGCCTGAATTACAGATTGAGACCCTGAGTCAAAAAACAAACAAACAGGGGCTGGGGATTTAGCTCAGCGGCAAAAAGCACCTGCCTGGCAAGCGCAAGGTCGTGAGTTCGGTTCCTGGTACCGGAGAAAAACCAAAAAAAAAAACCAAAAAAAACCAACCAAACAAACAAACAAATTAATACCCCTCCAAGCCAAAACAAAAACAAGAATAAAATGCTGTAAGAAGATAAATCTGCATGCCAGGAGGGCGAGACCTTTGTGCAGGTTCTCTTCTATAAACCCGTGGCTGTCTCTGTTCCTGCCACCCTGTGTCTCTCTTGTGACTCTGATGAAGGGGAAGCTGGACAAACCCTGTCATGGCTGTCTGCCCCCCGATTCTGATTAGTGGCTACTGGTCATACAGAGTACGGGCCTCATTTTGGCAGATTGGTGCAGGCACGTAACACACTTCAGCCCCCACCCTCCACACCCTCTTATCCCACCCTCTCCACTTTCGTATTTTTTTTTGTTTGTTTCAATGTGTAAAAGGTATTTTGATAATATTTACACACCTATACAGCCATCCTAACATCCCCTCCCTCTCCCTCTTCTCTTCCTCTTGTCTAATAGTGGTTGCCTTTATACTCTGTCATTGTTTTATGTTGGGGAGGACACAGGATATTTGTCTTTCTGAGATGGGCTCATTTCACCCAACTCGATGATCTCCAAGTCCACTCATTTTTCTGCAAATGACAACATTTCATTCTTTTTATGGCTGATAACACTCCGCTGTGTATACAAGGTTTACATTATATTTTCTTTATCTGTTCAACTACAGATGGGCACCTAGGCTTGTTCTATAGTTTGGCTACTGTGAATTGCGCCACAGTAAGCACGGCTTTGCAGGTGTCGATGGTTTGCTGACTTTATTTAATTCCTTCAGTTATGCACCAAGGCGTGGTATAGCTGGGTCAAATGTAACTCTTATTTTCAGTTTTGTGAGCAACTACCATACTGATTTCCACAGTAACACTGTAGAAAGGCCCCTCTTCACCCAAATTCTTGATCGCATTTATTGTTTTTGTATTTCTGACAATAGCCGTTCTGACTTGGGTGAGGTGGAATCTCAATGTAGTTTTGATCTGCATTTCTTCATTGTCTACTTTTATTTTTCCCATGCGGGGTTTGTTTTCTTTGATTTGCTTACTAATGCTTCCTCAAAATGGTACTGTGGCTTTGACAATTGCTTAAAACATCCACTTACCTTATAACCCAGCAATTCTACTCTTAGGTGCTTACCCAAGATAAATGTACACAAAAAGACTTATATACATGAATGTTCACAGCAGCTTTATTCATATTTGCCCCAAACTAGAATTAATCCAATTTCCATCAATAAGTGAAAGGATAAAAACTGTGGTGCACTCATTCACTGGAATACTATTCAGCAATAGATAAGAGTGAACTGTTAATTCATATAATGGAAATGAATCTAAACATTATGTTCAAGAAGCCAGACACAGAAGCATACTCCCACATACTTCCATTTTTATGTAGTGCCAAGCCAGGCAAAATGAGGCTATGGTGACAGACATCAAAATTCAGAAGGGTAGTGGCCCAGAGGGCTGAGGATCAAATGGAAAAGGGTAGAAAGAAAACTACAGGATTAATTGAAATGTTCTGTAACCTAAGTGTGTCTTGGTCACACAGGTATGGGCATTTGTCAAAACCAATCAAACTGAACACTTAAAATCCGTACATTTTGTTGTGTTTAAATTTTACCTCAAATGCACACCCACAGGCACAAATGGAAAGCCTACTCTGGCTTCCTCTTACTATGTGTCCAAGGTGTGACTATGCCCAAATAAAAGAAAATGGTATTTGAGCTTATCTGTTAAGCAAGATAATAAAAACAAAAGCATAGATGGTTACAGTAAATACACACATACATATAATAGCAAATAAATACCTGCTGTTTATTATGTGTCAGGCACTTTGGAAACATCTGATGTATATTAATTTATTCCTCACAACTCTATGAAGTAGAACTATTAGCTACATTTTACAAGTGAGGAAACTGAGACACAACAACGCAGTAAGTTGACTGCACACTAGTAAGTGTTGGAACAAATTCAAACCCAAGAAATCTTATGCTCTAGGCAACACTCTTCCTCGTGATATAGCACTGTCCAATATCAACAACAAAAAGCAACTTATATCTTGGCTGTCATTTTTTTGGGGGGTGCTGGGAATGAACTCAGGACCTTGAGCCTGCCAGGGAAGCGCTGTGCCACTGAGCTACATCCCTGGTCCTATCTTGGCTGTCTTAAGCCTGGCTAAAATGAAACAAGGTCAGATGTACAACAATATAATATAGTAATAGCTATCATTTTTGAATATGTACTATGTACTGTGTACCAAGCAATATCTTTATTTCAAAAACTATGAAAATACTTTCCAGAAGATAAAAATAAGGTTCCAAGAGGTTAAACAACTTGCCCCAAGGTCACAAAACTAGTAAGTTAGAACTGAGATCCAAATCTAACTCCAAAGCCATGTGGTTTGTCTAGCACATCTTGCTAACTTTATACTTCTCTTACATGGTAAGATATTTTTAAGTGACTTCTTTCCATTTTTAAGGGCTTTGCTCAAACTGCAGTTTTCTGTGGGCAGTGTGACTCTGAATTTTAAAACAATTTCTTTTGAACCATTAAATATTTTTGATATGTATACGCTTCTCTCTCTCTGTCTCTCTCTCCCCCTCTCCCTCTCCCTCTCTTTCTCTCTCTGTCTTTGTCTCTGTCTCTGTCTTTCTTGTAGCCTTGAACTCACTCTGGAGCCCTGGCTGGCCTCAAACTTGCAGCGATCCTCCTACCTCAGCCTCCTGAGTGCTGGGATTATAGGTGTGTGCCACCATGCCCGGACAAAATTTAAAAACTTGAAAATAGTGTTCTGTGAAAAGTCAGTCTCCCTTCCATTCCCGATCAAAGTCCCACAGTTACAGTCTAGTTCATCAGAGGCCACCACACTGCTTGTTATTTTATTTTTTTGATATCCATTAAGAGACAGTGTCTTGCTACCCAAGGTTACACACACAGAGTTCTAACATGCACAGCTCTATAAACTTCCTTTCCCCTTCCGTAAACAGCATGTTATTCACATCACACTGTACCACGCCTGTTCATGCATATATTTATCATGTAGATTGTTCCCATCAGAAGCCACAGATAATTATCTTAATTGGATGTTCCATAATTTTGATGGACATTTAATTTGCTTTCATGGCAGGGACAATTTAAAGGGATTCCTTCCTATGTGCTTGTAATTCTTTCCTACATTGTCTGGTTAATATGCAATCTTAAAGTAATTTTCTCTGCCTTCCTTTTCAGTCCCCTTCACTGCCAAGTCCTACTCATTCATTTCTGCTGCTCCTGACTGCTCCTCTTCTCATTTCCTACGGCTACGCTCGGTTCTGTGGAAGCATCTCCCCAGATCCGCCCTCCTCACTTTCTTGTCTCCAGGCCTCCTCCTAACATACTCAGCACACAGCTGGAGGAAACATCTGACAACATCACTGCTTAATTATGCTACTTTATTACCACCACCAGAAACCTGAGTAACTTCTCATTTACTGCACTCCAGTTCCGCACTCTAGAGCACAATGCAGGAGAACGGGGCCAGGTGCCGACACTAGGGGATGTCTGTGAAGGCGCCAAGTGCTTCACAGACATCGTCTCGCTGACCCTCCTCTAACTCTTGCAATGGTGAGTAGTATTAGCCCCAATTTACAGCCAGGAAACGGAACTTTAGAGAGAATGGCAATTCATCTAAAACTAGCTAGTACCTACCTGGCTGAGCTAGGATGCAGACAAATTCTGTCCGGTTGACTGCATGTATATGCTTTTCACCACCGAGATGCTCTTTTCTGGTTTTTCTCCGGTACCGGGAACCGAACTCACGACCTTGCGCTTGCCAGGCAGGCGCTTTGCTGCTGAGCTAAATCCCCAGCCCCCGAGCTGCTCTTTTCTAAATGGAGATAATGCCTCCCAGTTCGCGGTGAGGTGAGGATTAACTGAACACGCTCAGGCAGGGCTTGCCACAGCTGCCTCCTTGCCAGCACTCAACCCTCAACCAACAGTCACCGCCACAGACAGGACCTCCCTGGTGACTGTAGTCCCAACTCTTCCCATAGTCTCACGAGTTGCCCTCCCCTCAGGGCTCTACACATGGTAAGTATGAGCTCTACCCCGAACTACACTCCTACCCCTGACAACTGTGCCTTTAATAAAGTATTTTGAGGTATCCTTAAATCAGTAATCTCGTCTTCTTCTTCTTTTAGTTTTGGTTTTTTAAGACAGGGTTTTTTGCTATGTAGTTCAGGCTGCCCTTGAATTCACTATGTAACTCAGGCTGGCCTCAAACTTGAAGCATTTTTTCTGACTCAGCCTCCCATAACACTGGGATTACAAGTGTGCACTACCATGCCCAGCCGGTAATTTCTTCTAAAAAAGAACTGCCCCCACTAACTCTGGCATTATTTGTAGTAAATGACTAGAAACTATGGGGAAAAAAAGGTTATTTATTGTATTTACTCCAGTCTTTGGTTCTGAAGCATCAAATGGCGTCCTACCTGGGCAGCCTCATACGTGATAGTCTTGGTCTCAGTGTGGACAATAGGGACGTCTTTGGTGGGTATCTCACTTTTCACAGCATTGGCAGTGTCTGAGATGGTGACAGTCTGAGTCTTCACCAGTGGAGGCTGTGAAGCAGGAAAGACACGGTGTTAGCACAGGCTTTCTGACAGCTGTGGAGAACTAAGTCCTCTGACATTGATCTGACCAAAGTGTTAGCTTGAATCAAACAAAGGGTGCGCTCAGTCTCCAAGGTGTTTCCTCTGCCCAAGACCTGGACGCTATTCCAAAGTGAGCCTGACAAGGTGTGACATCAGGATGGACATAAAAAGGCAGCATTACTGTAATCACTTTCATAAGCTTAATGGAAAACTATAAGATCAGAGTTATGAGTGGTGATATAAAATACTCCAGACTGACCTTCCGAATTTGAATATAAAACTATTTGCCAAATAGCAATCTCTTTTATTTGTCCTTGTGGCTGTACCATTATAATTAAGAAAATCAGCCACATTTCCTCCACTAAGTACAAATGGTACATGAACAGCAGAGGCACTGGAATGCATTACCCTGGAATTCATTAACTTCTTTCAAATCAATGTCAGATACTCATTTTGGAGTTACTGAGAAGAAACAGTTTTTGGAAAACTGGAAAGAAAAAAAAAATCAGTTCTACCACCACCTGGTGATTAACCTCAGAATTTCAGAAGACTGAACATTAGTGGAATATGAAAGGCCTTCTTGTCCATCCACTCACCTTCCCCCAGACTACATACCACCCGCAGACTGCCCTCTGATTGTGACAGGGCTAAGAGGCCATCCACCGCAGCATAGGAAGTTAGTGCCTATGATCAAGGAAGCCCCTGGGAGTAGGGTCAGTGGGAGTGGTGGCTGCAGTACATATATTACTATTTGAGGCCTGAAATCTCATCCAAAGATCAGTCACCCCTTTTATCAGAAGTACTGGAATTTTCTGGACATGGGCACCACAGAACTCTCTGAAATTCACCTCTTCCTACAGCCCATATTTGAGCAAAGAAAAGATGAACCTACTTACACCAGCTTCACAAAGGTAAGGAGCTGGAGATTTTACTCTCAAGAGTTTTGTGAAGTCATCAGGGAGAAAGCATTTGTGCTCATGGCGTTAATTCCTCTGAATGAATTTCTTCATAACAATCAAAGGCTTTATTTTTATTCTGTGATTTTGAAAAAAGCAGAGGCCACTATCCTCACCACCACCACCACCTCCTCCTCCACAGAACAGATTTTGACCCTCTCCCGGAGAGTCACTAGACCTGCATCATTGAATCAGTTACTACCTGGAAACTGCGAATCAAGGCGGGGAACTGGTTACCCACACGAGGGTCAAGAAACGATCCATTCAGTTTTCCAAGTGGCTGTCCTGGTGTAACAGGTTCTTCACCACTGTCTGCCCTTTTTTCACCAAGCTGCAGCTGACAGGAAGCTGGTGATACTGAGAACTTTAAGGTACTGGCCTCCTCCACTCCCACACATTCCCCACTCGGGCCTCCTGGCATTTCCTTAATATCAAGACAGCCAGCTGCCCCCTGCTCCTTCTCTTCTGCCTCCTTGCTGCTTATGGAGAGGGAGCCAACGTCAAAGCTTTGTGGAGACTCCGATGGGCCGGTCATCTGCCTCTGACTAGGAACTACTGGCTGCTTGGGGCCCTCCCATTCAGAGTCAGGCTTAGCAGGCCCTTTTGTCATGACAGCCACTTCCTCTGTGCGAATGCCATTTATACTCTACAAATGAATGAACACATACAGAAGCAAGAAGATTAGGAACAGGTAGGGAAACACAGCAAACTCTGAGAATCAAGGGTGATTTTTTTTTGACGCAAGTTCTCATTATGTAATTCAGGTTGGCCTCAAACTCTTGGTGATCCTCTAGCCTCAGCCTCCTGGGTGCTGGGATTACAGGCGTGTGTCACCATGCCTGTCAGCGGTGATTTGTAAGAAGTCTCAAAAATATTAATACTAATATAAAGTAAGAATTTTAGCTTAAAGTTGGTCAAAAGGATGAACTGCTATTCATTACACATATTTTAAGCAGTACAACTTCATTTTGGTCAAATTTCTGTAGCATGATTAATCTGGAAAATAATTTTAATGTGCTTCACACACTACCCAACATTTATGATCTTTCCTCTATAACACACACTGTTCATTTTTTTTTTTTTTAAAGACAAGATCTCACTATGTGGTCCAGGCTGGCTTCAACCTTGGTGATCCTTCTGCCTCAGTTTTCTGAGTGCTGGGATTAGAGTCATGCACTACCATTTCTGGCTATTCTCTTCATATTTGAAGGGGTTAGTTTATTATTCTTAATTCATTATTATTCAAAATGTGTGAGCCCATCGAAACATGCTCTTGCGGAGCCTGATGAGGCTGAAAAGCATTTCACACACCTCTAAGCCATGTGTATCTCACACTGGCCCCTAATGGATAAATTAAAATCTAGACTTGGCTTGGCAGGGAGACAAATGCTGAACACCAACACAAGCTTACTCTAATTAGTCATGGTATCAAACATGCTATCCAAACTAGTGAAAGGTTTCTTTATAAACAAAATAACCAGCAGCTGTGATGTGTTTCCTCACAGATGAATGACACAACACCTCCAGCTTCTAAAAGAGAGAAATCATGGAAACACAGAAAGTTCCCTCCTGGGCTAAATGCCTCTCACCACAGGAGAAAGTTTTAAAGTAAATATACTGAAAACAACATGTGTAAGAAGATACCACTGTGACACATGGACTTGTTCCTAAAGTGTTAAGCATGGAGTTCCAAGTTGGAAAAAAGAAGGAATTTACACCTGTAGGAAAGGAATATGAACTATTTGAGAAGTGAACAATCTAACTGAAGCAAAATGCAATGGCAAGTGACATCTGCACGTGCACCAGAAAGCTGTAAAGAAGCTACGCAGGCCCATAAGACCATTTCACCACACTACATGGCACACAGGAACTTAATAACAGAAGAGTACTCTAGGGTAAATCACAAAGCCTGGACCAGCTTACAAATTTTAGTCATCAAATCATGTTAGTTATATCACATTGTAAAAAACCACTGCTGTTCCTGACTGTAAACCAGCCTGTGTTGTGATAAACATAAACCAATGTTCTATTTAGGCAAGAAAAGATCCCTACTCTCAAGAACTTTGAGCCAACTTCACTTTGAACATCTTGAAACATGCAGTTTAAGAGCATCTCAAACAAGATACGCACACGTTAAATTCAGATTAGGCAGCTTGTTCATCGGCTGATTATGAGTATTACGTGAAACATGAAAGAAAGAACTGAGAGACTGACAACAAAGTTATTTCTGCCTACAGATCAGAGAAACATAAAAATTCTTAACAGCATATGAATTTCCTCCAATTTAAAATGAGAATAATGCTTGGTTTGACTTGTGGGGTTCTGAGGATCAAATACAATGACATCTATAAAAACACTTTGTAAATTCCAAAGTACTCTACTGATTTGTTTAATTCAACCAAACAGTTAGCAGGGCACCTGCCATATATGAGGGCCTAGAGGACACAAGAGAGTTTAGTACACTGCACTACTTTCTAGAGCATTGCTCTTAGCCTTGCTTCTGAGCCAGGCAAGCTGCTATAGGGCTGTTCAAAAATAGATCAGCTTGCAAAAATCTGATCTCTACTTCTCTCCAGCTTCGCCTTGCTAAACTTCCACACGCATCCTCTTCGTCAATTCAAAACCATCCACACTTTCCAGAACACAGCATGCTTTCTTTTGCCTGCAAGCTTTTGTAAATATTGTTCCTTCTGATTTGAAGTCTATACTTTGCTTTTTTGTGTGTGTGTGTGTGTGTCTTTTTTGAGACAGGGTCTCACTATGCAGGTCAGGCTGGCCTTGAACTCACTTTCTAGGCCAGGCTGGTCTCAAACTTGCAATGATCCTCTTGCCTCAGCCTCCCGAGTGCTGGGATTACAGGCGTGCACCCCCATGCCTGGTATGGAAGTCTATACTTTGCAAGCGTTTGTTCCCCTGGCTGCCTGGTTTCCTCTTTCACTCCTTGTTACTGGAATATTCATCTCTCTTCAATTAGACTATAAGCTTGGGGAAGGGTAGCTTCTTTATTTTTACTGTGTCTTTCTTAGCCTCATCTTTCTTGTATAGATTTTGACATATAATAGATGCTCAGTACAAACTATGTCTTATGTTATAAAAACTGAAATGTTTAAAAAGGTATGTTTAGAAAGGACATGAACAGTGCTTCACTTGACCAAAACCACTTGTCTAGTCCAGCATTTTACCTCTTCTATCAGTAAAATAAGAGGAAAATTAATAGTATTGTAAGTTCATTGTGTACCAAGTAGGGTGTTAGTCGCTTTAATGTGGTTTCTCATTTAATTCTTTACAATCTCATGTTGAGGTAGCAATTATCCATATTTTATAGATGAAGAAACAGAGAGGTTAAGTAACTCACAGCTAGGAAGTGATGGAGCTAGGGTTTAGATTCAGGACTGTTTCTGTTTTTAAAGGTCCTCTTCTTCCCCTGGCACCACAAAGTATTTTGAATAGGGTCAAAGAATGTGTTCACTTATGCTCCAAAGAATACATATCCAATGTGACTCTGACTTTGAGAAGTACACTGACTGTACAATGTCCTCTTGGCAGAGTCAGTGGTTAGTGGCTGAAATTATACTTTTAAATAGAAGGAGAAGCCTAAAAAGCCAGAAGGAAAGGCTCTAGCCAGAAAAAGATGTAAAGTTTCCATGACACAAGACACCCAGAATTTGGCATAGAGTATCACTGAGTAATTTTAACTGACAATGTTGTTGCCTTTGGCTATAATCATCAGCCAGCACCACTGGGTTACATAAGACTGCACAACTGTATATACCAAAGTAGCCTGGAAACTTTAAGGGGTCACTGCCAGGAATAGGAAGTGATATATGGTAGCGTCTCAGCCATCCATGTGACAACAAAGCAAAATCAAGACAATGTGATCCAAAGGTATTACTCGAAGTGCTACAAAATGCTAGAAAGATGCTGTATAACAGACCAGCTGCCTAAAAGATCCTGCAGAAATACCCAGCCGGCTTCAAGAATATGGGCAGGAAGATTGATAGACATATTTTCTTAAACAGGAGCCCTATTTGAAGGTTCTCAATCTCATTTTAAAAATCAATGGCTCCTGCTACATACGATAGTCCAGTATTTTCCGTGTTTGGGGAAAGAAAACACGGGATTTTTAAAAGGCTTTCTCTTAAATCCTCAAACCCTGTGTATGTAAGTGTCTTAACGAGTTATAAATTACCCCTTCCTTGACTTCCAGATTCCACCAAAAGCAGGATATGCATATTTTACAGGTATTTAGCTGACACTCCATTAAATATAATCCAGGGTTTTTGTCTATTTAGGTTATTTTTGAAGTAAGGAATTTACATATTTAAAAAGACTTATCAAGAGAAGCACAGTACACTAACAAAACTATCTTATCCTATAAGTGATTACAGTGAAAACACATTCTGAAAATCTTTCTAAAAATTTGCCACCTCAGCAAGAGCCTTAAGTGTGTTCTGGGGAACCTATGTAACGATTTTTTCCGCACCTATTTGGATACCCTGTCCTCTGTTAAAAAGGAGACCAGAGGCTGGCACTGTCTCATGTTATCTTTCTCTGAGGTAAAATCCTGGGGAGGCAGATAAAGATCGAGGGAAGAGCAGCAGCAGCAGCAGCAATGCCAAGTCTGCCAGGCAATTTGAAGGAAACACTTTCATCTCAAGGCCACAACTGGATGTTGGGAAGAGGAAAAAAAAGGCAAAAATGCTGAGTGTGAAGATGAAGTCTATTCTTTATAATGGGCTAGTAAGATAGTATTGACTTTCCTTCCCCCCCTTTAAAAAAAAAATCACAAGCACATATGTGTATAACTGTACATAGGAGACTTTCTTTGAGACAGAGTCTTGATATCAAGCTGGCTTTGACCACTATGTAGCTCAAGGAGAAAGACTTTGCACTAAAATATTAAGTGTTTCTTTAAAAAAAAAAAAGTTGGGGGCTGGGGATTTAGCTCAGCAGCAAAGCGCCTGCCTGGCAAGCGCAAGGTTGTGAGTTCGGTTCCCGGTACCGGAGAAAAACCAAAAAATGAAAATAAAAATTAAAAAAAAGTTATTTTCTTATACAAGTTTTTTTAAAAATCTGGTTCCAGCACTGAAATGATGTTTAAAAATCTAAAGAGTCTGGCAATTTATGAAGGAAATACAGAAATCCTTAATGTTCTCCAAGCCTTTAAAGGTAGTTAAAAAGAAATCCTGAATAGGCTCCTAAAAGAAACAATAAAGAATTATAAACATCAACAACTGATAAATAGTGTAGAAGTCCTCATAGGAAAAGAATAATATCAAACATTGGTAATTTAGTAAATTTTGTTCATTTTTTTTCTTCCTTTCCAAAGTCCTTTCCTTTCCTCCCTTCCTCTCCCCTCCCCACCCCTTCCTCCCTCCCTTCCTTTCATTGAGATGCTGGGGACGGAACCAGGGCCTGTGCATGCTAGGTCTAAGCTGTACCAACAGCTCCATGAGTTACTTTTTAAAAAGTCTAAGTCAGCCAGGCCTGGTGGCGCATGTCTACAACTCTGGCACTCAGGAGGTTGAGGCAGGAGTACTGCTGTGAGTTCAAGGCCAGCCTAAACTATGTACACAGTAAGATCCTGTCTCAAAAACAAAAAAACAAAACTACACACACAAAACCAAACCAAATCAAACCAAACCA